AGTTGCATCCCCAATAAAACCAGCCAGGATCATCATGACATCAGAGACAAAAGAAACATAAACTCGAACATGTAAGAGCCATGAATTAACTGAACTTAACTGTAAAAAATGTTGAAATGGCAAATGTGTCACCAAAAAAAAAAAAAAAAAACACGCCATGAAAAACGATGAACGAAAACATTTTTAAAAAAGCAGTTAAGGGAAAATTACATTACATAGCACATACAATAAATCCTAAAAATCTTTACTCATCTCTTTTCCTAGTCTAGTAACTAATAACTTTCTATTCCCAACCCAATTCCTATCTCATTCACCTCTCCTCTCCCACTATCAAAGCTTTTTCTTTTTCCCTCAGAGTAGCACAACACATTTTCCTATGTCAAGTCATCTATAGCCTTCTCTGTACTGCAGATTTACATTTTGACCTGTTTTCTGTTTAGCCCAACAATAGTTCACAGTAGCTAAACAAAACAAGACTCTCTAATACAGAAATGTTTTGCAGGCTCCTCCTGAATTTCTCCTAAGTCACTTTTCACTGACAGCCTGTTGCTTCCTGTGCATATCCTTTACAACATCATTAAATTTGGATCTCTGACACTCAATGACCATTTTCTAAAAAAAGCAAAGTTCTATCTTTCCTAGGAAAATAGAAACAAAGATATTATAAACAATAACTGCACTTTAATATTTTTGTCCGTACTGATCAATATAACAATACTAATCCTATTACAAGTCCCTGTGTGGCACAAATGGTTTGCACTAGACTACTAACCTAAAAGTTGGTGGTTCACGCCCACCCAACTGTACCGCAGAAGAAGTCCTGGCAATCTCCTTTCATTAAAATTACAGCCGAGAAAACTCTTATGAACAGTTCTACTCTGTAACACATGGGGCCGCCATGAATTGGAATCAACTTGGCAACATGTTTAGTTTTTTGGTTTTTAATCACTATTACAACAAATCAAGTATTTCCATTGCAGTTAACATGCTTGGCTGCTAAAGGGTGCTAACCAAAAGGCTGGAGGTTTAAATCTATCCAGAGGTGCCTTGGAAGAACCTGACAACCTACTTCTGAAAAAATCATCCACTGAAAACCCTACGGAACGCAGTTCTACTCTGACACACATGGAGTTGCCATGAGCTGGAGCAGACTCAATGGCAATTGATTGATTAATCCATTCAAGTATCTCATATATAAATATTTTATACAATCATAATTCCTTAACAAATTTTTACTCTGCTTTTTAAACTTACATTATAAGTATTTTGCATGTTCTCCCTTCATACTCAGTTATTCTTTTTAAAAAATTTATTTATTTTATTATAAAAGCGATATATGTTCATTACAGAAATATTAGAAACTAGAGACAAGCAAAAAACAAACATTTTAAAGCTTCTTGTTTTTAATTGTGATTAGATGGTTATGTGAAATACTAAAAACTCACTGAACTGAACTCTTAATATCTGTGCATTATCTTAATTATACCTCACAGAAATATCAACAAAAAAAGTATTAAACTTAGTGACTGAGTTTGACAAAGATTTCTTAAAAACAACACAAAAAGCATGAAATATAAAAGAAAAAAAAATCAATACCCTGGACTTCAACAAAATTTAAAAAAACCTTCTGCAGTTCCAAACACAGTGTTAAGAAAATGAAAAGACATCTAGGTGCCCATCAACAGATGAATGGATAAACAAAATATGGTACATACAATGAAATACTACACAACAATAAAGAACAATGATGAATCTGCAAAGCATCTCACAACATGGATGAATCTGGAGGACATTATGCTGAGTGAAATAATTCAATCACAAAAGGACAAATATTGTATGAGATCACTACTATAAACACTCATGAAAAAGTTTACGCACAAAAAGAAACAATCTTTGATGGTTACGAGTGAGTGGTGGGAGGTAAAAACATGAAGTACACAATAGATAAGTGGTAACTTTGGTGAAGGGTAAGACAGGACATAATACTGGGGAAGCCAGCACAACTTGTCCAAGGCAAGGCCATGGAACCTCCACAGATACATCCAAACTCCCTGAGGGACAAAATTACTGGACTAAGGGCTGTGGGGACCATGGGGAACATCCAGCTCAACTGGCATAACACAGTTTATAAAAACAATGTTCTACATTCTACTTTGGCGAGTAGTGTCTGGGGTCTTAAAAGCTTGTGAGTGGCCATTTAAGACACTCCCCTGGTCCCACCCCACCTGGAGCAAGGGAGAATGAAGAAAACCAAAGGCTAACCAAAGGCACAAGGGAAACATTAGTCCAAAGGACTAACAGACCACAACTACCACAGCCTCCACTAGAGTCCAGCACAACTAGATGGTACCCAGCTACCACCACCAACTGCTCTGACAGGGATCACAATACAGGGTTCTGGATAGAGTTAGAGAAAAATGTAGAACAAAATTCTAACTCACAAAAAAAAAAGACCAGACTTACTGGTCTGACAGAGACTGGAGAAATCCTGAGAGTATGGCCCCCGGACACCCTTTTAGCTCAGTAATGAAGTCACTCCAGAGGTTCACCCTGCAGCCAAAGATTAGACAGGCCCATAAAACAAAACGGGCACGGCACACCCACCCAGGGGCAATGACAAGAAGCAACAGGGGACAGGAAAGCTGGTAATGGGGAACCCAAGGTCGAGAACGGGAGAGTGTTGACATATCGTAGGGTTGGCAAACAATGTCACAAAAACATGTGTATTAACTGTTTAATGAGAAACTAGTTTGCTCTGTAAACCTTCATCTAACGTACAATAAAAAAAATTTAAAAAAGAATATGAAAAGAAGAGCCACAAACTCGGAGAAAATATTTGCAAAACATACAACTGACAAAGAACTTATATCTAGAATATATAAAGAACTCATACAACTGAATAATTAGAAGACAAACAACTCAATAAAAGATGGGCAGGAAGAAAGACCTGGTGATCTACTTCCAAAAATCAATGAATAAAAACCCTATGGATCAGCATGTTTCATCCCCAATCGAGCATGAAGATAGTGCAGGACCAGGCAGCATTTCTATCTGTTGTGCGTGGGGTCACCAAGAGTCAGGGCTGACTGGACAGCAGTTACAACAACAGCAACATGAGGGGCTGGAGGCATAGGCACAGACTATCTCTATAGTATGCACAAGAAGCAGATGACAGTGATTGCCTCTGGGGAAGAGAGCCTTGTGACTAAGGTCCTGGGATGAGAAGGAGGATTAATTTCACTGTGTATCCTCTTTCATCTTTTGAATTCTTTTATACTGTACATGTTGTTACCTATTCGTAAAGAATACGTTAATTAATTTTAAAATCAAGCAAATGAAGATATTTAAATAAAAAAAAAAAAAGATGGGCAAAAAATATGGACACTTCCAATAAGCACATAAAAAGATGCATATAATTAGACATTAAAGAAACACAAACTAAAACTATGATAAGATTCCGAAGTACATGCACTAGATTGGTTAAAGTTAAAACAACTGGGGGGAAGAAAAAAAAGACCATATTAAGTTTTGGGAAGGACTCTTACATTCTGCCAATAGGAATGTAAAATGGTACAACCACATTAGAAAACAGTTTGGTAATTTCTTAAAGGTTAAACACACGCCTACCGTATGACCCAGCCATTCTACTTCTAGGTATTCAGCCAAGAGAAATGAAAGCATGTCTACACAAAGACTTGCACACACATGTTCATGGCAGCTTTATAGGTAACGGTGCAAAACTGGAAACTACCTTAATGTCCATTAACAGCTGAATGGATAAACAAATTGTGATGAATTCATAAAACAGAATACTACTTAGCAATAAAAAGGAATGAACTATTGATACATGTAACATACATGAATATCAAAATGATTATGCTTAGTAAAAGAAGCTAGACCAAAAAAAAAAAAAAAAGTACATGCTGTATGATTCCATTTATATAGAGTTCTAGAAAATGCAAACTAATCTATACTGACAGAAAGCAGATCATTGGTTCCCCAAGGGCAGCAGGACAACAGTGAGATGGGATAGGACGAGGAAGAGGGAGAATTACAAAGAGTCACAAAGAAACTTTTGGGGGTGATGGATATGTTTATTATATTGTATTGATGGTTTCATGGTGTATCTAAATGCCTAAATTAGTCAAATTGTATGCTTTAAATATGTGCACTTTATTCTATGTGACTTATACCTCAAAAAAGCTGTTGAAAATTTTTAGAGGAAAATCCAACCTCTATGAATGTCTGGAGCCCTGGTGACACAGCAGTCAAGCGCTCGGCTGCTAGCTGAAAGGCTGGCGGTTCAAACCACCAGCCACTCCGACGGAGAACAATATGTCAGTCTGCTTCCATAAAGATTTGAGCCTTGGAAATCCATGGGGCAGTTCTACTCTGTCCCATAGGATTGTTATGAGTTAGAATCGACTTGACGGCAATAGGTTTGGTTTTTGGGTTTGGTGTGAATATACGTGCTAAATATCAATAGCTTGAAAGCACTATATTTTTCATCTGACAATTGCCTAACGAAAACGTATAAAAGAAGAAATGTCTCACTTTTAAAATTTTAATCGTGTTAAGCATTATGTGGGTGGGGTAAAGTGGTACGGAACGTAAGAATGTCCATTATACAAAAAATTAATCTATGACAAACCATAACCATCAACACACAAAACCCAATAGATAAGCTAAATAACTGGGATCTTCTAAAAATCAAACACCTATGCTCTTCAAAAGACTTCACCAAAAGAGTAAAAAGAGAACCTACAGATTGGGAAAAATTTTTGGACAGTACAAGTCAGACAAAGGTCTAATCTCCATGATCTACAAGAAAGTCCAACACCTCTACAACAAAAAGACAATTAATCCTATTAAAAAATGGGCAAAGGACATCAATAGATGAATGGATAAATAAACTATGGTACATACACATAATGGAGTACTATGCAACGAGAAAGAACAACAATGAATCTGTGAACCATCTCATAACGTGGATGAAACTGGAGGACATTATGCTGAATGAAATAAGTCAATCACAAAAGGACAAATATTGTACGAGACCTCTATTGTAAAAACCCATGAAAAAGTTCACACACAAAATGTAAGAATCTTTGTTGGTTACCAGGGATGGCAGGGGTGGGGGGGAAATACTAAACAGGCAAAGGATAAGTGCTATCTTGGGTGAAGGGTGAGACAGTACACAATACAGGGGAAACTAGCACAACCTGTACAAGAAAATGTCATGGAAGCCCCATAGACACATCCAAACTCCCTGAGGGACTGAATTGCTGGGCGGAGGGCTCTGGGGACCATGGTCTCGGGGAACATCTAGCTCAGTTGGCATGACACAGCTTATAAAGACAACGCTCTACATTCTACCTTGTGAGTAGTGTCTGGGGTTTTAAAAGCCTGTGAGCGGCCATCTAAGATACTCCACTGGTCTCATCCCTTCGAGAGCAAGGTAGAATGAGGAGAACAGGATACAAGGAAAAGATCAGTCCGAAGGACTAACTGTCCACAGCTACCAAGGCCTCCACCGGACTGAGTCCAGTACAGCTAGATGGTGCCCGGCTACCACCACTGAC